GGCAGCTTCAAAGAATCTAGCCCATTTTTTCCAAGTAAAAAATATGTTTTTTGTGTGCAAGCAACTGGCCGTATTCTTTCCTAAGCTTAAAACCAGGCGTTTGGGAAACTGGTTTGGCTGTTAGAGCCCACTGGTTTGGCAAAGGAAGAAGTATTGTTGACTATAGAATTATAGGCCAAAAGTGCCTTCTCCCATGATTCCGCTTCAATTAAGCTGCGCTTTAACTTCGACCCCTGGGGAACAGACATCCAAAGGGAGATCTGTTCCAGGGAGGAAGGGGAGCAGCTTATTTTCTTATATTGGGACAGATTGAGTTCCACTGGGCTGGAAATACATTGCTTGTTTATCTCATAGTTGGATCGAAAGGACAACAAAATAGGAAGATGGTCGCTTTCAGTCCTGAGTCCTATTGTAAAATCTACAATACACTCACATCATTTGGCAGATGAAATCGCATAATCAACAACACTATTACCCCTAGGAGAAACAAAAGTGTAATTACCAGAAGCATCATATTGTGAAGAACCATTGAGTATTAAAAAATTGTTATGAGGACATAGGTCTACCAGATGGTAACCAGCCTGGTTAATTGTTGCATCCCTGGACTGCCTAGGCCGAAGAAAGGGGAAGGGGGTATGCTCATCGTCATCCCAATGAAGCATAGAACCAATTTGATTATTGTCATTGCCTATTCTAGCATTGAAATCCCCCACCAATAAAAAAAAGCCTCAGGATATTTAATAGAGTGATTAGTAAAATAACTGTTCAACCGATTCCAATGGGCTCTAAGCATGTTATTATCTTGACAAGGGGGCATATAGATATTGACAGCGATCAACTGGAAGTCCTTAAACAAAATAAAAAAGGCCTGGGCAAAAGGGGGACACGCCTCTAGTTGGGTGACAGATAGTTTAGTAGCATTCTTAAAGAGGCCACAGAGCCCACCCATAAAACGTCCCTTCCGATTTGACCTCGTAGCAGGAAGTGGAAAGGAAGAGAACCCATTAATAGATACATTATTTGGGGACCAAGTTTCCTGGAGAAAGATCATATCGAAAGGTAGCAAAAAATTTAGGAAATCAGGATCTCCCCATTTGTTAGCCCATCCTGCAATATTCCATGACATAAGTTGGATCCTTCTCTGAGAATCCCTAGGACGATCATGGTTATCAGATAGTCACTCGCATTCAAGAATTATATTCAAAGAAGGGAGATTCTATTCTAATTGTCCGTAAGAGGTACTGTAGTACTGTTATCTTTTAATGCAGCTTAAGTGTTCCTGCTTAACGTTCTAGTTTCCTCCATGAAAGTAAGAGTTGAAACATCATAGTGCAGGGGTGTCGAACTCATTTGTTTTGAGGGCTGGTCCGGATCTGACATAAATGAGACCTTGTTGGGCCGGGCCACGTGTGTCATAAAATGTAATGCCAGGTAGCAGAGATATAAACTTTATAAAGGACACAAACACAAAGCGGGTTTTTTACTTAAAATTTTAAAATGCTTAAAACATTAGCACTCTTGCAATATTTTCTTTATTTAACAGTGTATGATAGCTGACATCTCTTGCTCTGAATTATTGCATCAAAATGTCTGCTGTTGCAATCTTGAGTATGCTGTTCAGGTGTGTATCTGTAAACTGCAGAACTGGAAGAAGAAGCAGAAGACAGCCAGTTCCACTGCGAGCCCGATAGAAGTCCTCCAGGGTCCTGATCCGGCCCCCGGGCCGCATGTTTGACACCCCAGTCATAGCATATTCAGGGCTGAGAAGATGGTGAGCCTTATTCAGGGGTGTGGTGGAGAATCCCCCTTTCTTGGGCAGTGGCCAGCACTGTGCCACATCAAGAGCCTTGGGGTCCTCAGAGAGTCCTATTGTACATGTTCGCATAAGCACCCTTTATCAGTAGCGGAAGTGCATCATTTTTCTCCATAGTACTAACAAGAGTTGGTCTTCAGTTCAAGGGGAAAGTGCAGCACGCTCTGTTTCCAGAGATTGTGTTCCTGGCAAAAGTATCACAGAACTGTCTAACCAGCGACCCAGACATTCTGTGCTGCCTGTAATGTAATGGGAATGGAAAGAGAATTAAACAACCTGTTCATTTGATGTATCAGCAGGGCTTTTTTGGGTAGAAAAAGCCCAGCAGGAACTCATTAGTATAATAAGCCACACCCAATAGCAGAAACTCATTAGCATATTAGGCCACACCCCTGACAGCACCACTCATTAGCCTATTAGGCCGCACCCACATGTTACCAGAAGTGTGGTCATCCAGCCACACCAACCTTTTGCTTTTTATTCTGTTTACCTTTTTGTTGTCAAAACCCAGGGCTTTTTTTGTAGCAGGAACTCCCTGCTACACACCCCTAATGTAGCCAATCCTAATGAGTTTCTGCTGTTGGGTGTGGCCTATTATGCTAATGAGTTCCTGCTGGGCGTGGCCAATTCAGGAGCCAGCCGGAACTCCGTTCCTGTGCGTTCCTGCCCCAAAATAGCCCTGTGTATCAGGAAAATATAATAATATTGTTTTGGTCTGTGTCTGGGCTGACAGTAGAAGTGGGATCACAGGAGTGAATGCTCCTCTGTACAAAACATCTTGTAGGTAGTATGGAAGGTGGAGGAAGTCTGTTCTTTTTCCCTGGCATGGATGAGAACAGAGTGGGCAGATGTTCTGTGGTGTTGTCCAGGGCAGTTGTAAGAGTCATGTATGCAGCACAGGAGTCCTATCACTGAGGCATTTGGACAAGACACAGCATTAATTGGAAGCTCTCAATGATGAGCTAAGATCCTGTCTAGTATTAGTAAGATCTAGGTAACCATGTTAGCCTGTCTGTAGCAGTAGAAAAGAGCAAGATATGTAGCAGCTTTCATGAGTCAATGCTGTTCTATTCTGTTCTATTTATTGAAAGTTGAATGATTTCAGATGCCAAATTATATTAGCAGGGAAATGATGATAACAGGTGTGATTGGGTTTAGGTGAGATATGCAGAGGGGTAATAGTCATGGAGAAATCAGCAGTGGTAATGAGACAGAAAACCTAGGTCTCAATTCAGTCCAGGTGGATGCATTGTCTTGAACTTCATGATCAGTTGTAATTCAGCAGTCTCTCTTTCTAATCTCTCTTTGAAGTTCCTTTGTAAGAGAGCTGCTTCTTTTAGGTCAGCAACTGAATGTCCTGGAAGTTTGCAATGTTCCCCCACTGGTTTTTGAATGTTGTGGTTCCTAATGTCAGACGTATGTCCATTAATTCTTTTTTGAAGGGACTGGCCTGTTTGTCCAATGTAGAGGGTAGAAGGGCATTGCTGGCACGTGGTGGTATAAATCACTTTAGAGGATGAGCAGGAATATGAACCTGATGTGGTATGGCTGATGTTGCTGGTCCATCTATATAAGAGCAAAGTTGGCAACTTAGTTTGTTGCAGGCAAAGTTGGCTACTTAGTTTGTTGTGCCAGAGTCCATGTTACTGTTAAGTGGTTTATCATTGTGAGTGAGATGTTATTTTAGGTGAGCAGGCTGTCCTTAAGCAAGAAAAGGTTGCTCCCCCCCCCACCGTGTCTGTTTGAGGGAAGCGTCACTATCCAACATGGGTTGTGGGCCATTAATAATGCATTGAACTGGCTTGAGTTGTGAGTTGTAGGGGACCACCAGTGCTGTTCCGTTGTCATTTTCTTGGGGCTTGTCTTGTAGCCAGCTGTCCCTGGGTATCATTCTGGCTTTCCCAATCATCTTTCTCACCATCTCCGGAGGACACTGTAGTTGCAAAAATGCCTGCTGCAGATCCTTCAAGTGAGTCTCTCTGTCTGAGGGATTGGAGCAGATGTGACTATAGTACAGGGTCTGTGTGATGTATCGTGCCTGAACCATCCCTGAGTGTGGGCCTTGGACGGGGTGAGCTCCCCCCCCAAGAACAATAGCTGACCAGGATCCTGGAATTGACCTGTAGATATGCAGTGTGATGTAAATAGCCTGTCCTTGGGAGTGTGTGTGGGGTGGGGTGGGGTGTTTGCATGCTTTATAAGCGGGGCTCAGACCCTGCTGGTGTCCTCGTTGTGTTCTTGAAATCACTAAACGTAGAGCTGATCACTGCCATGCCTCCAGAGCCCAGGATTCAACAGCCTGGCAGGATACGCAGGATCCGGGAGCATCTTAGAGGCAAACAAGATTTTTGGGGCACGGGAGCTTTTGAGGGTCACACGGCTCCCTCCATCCAATGAAGGCTCGTGTCCCAGGAACCCTGTTGGTTTCTAAGGTGCTGCTGGACTTGAACGGCCCCATCAGATGTTTCCTCCGTCCTCCAAATATGGTGGACTACAAAATAAAAACAGAGGGTTCTTCTTCTGAAGGTTGCTGTATTATCATCACACACCTGAGAAACAAGGAGAGTCACAAGTTCTAAAGCGTCTCCTTTGCAGACATAGTAAGATCTCTTCTGCTTTGCTTGGAATGCTGATATAGACCCCAGGTGGACAGGAAATGCTCACCTGATAACAGACTGGAAAGCTCCCTGCTTCTTTTTCTTGTACAGGGAACAGGAAAGCGCTTGGTCTCCATGTTCTGTCCAAGGCAGAATGGCAAAGGCAAGACAGACGTTTAGCGCATATCCTGTAGAACGTATCCTTGATGCCCTGCAGAGAAGTGTTTGCTTCCTTGTCTTTATCTGAAAGTATTGCTGAAATAACATGGCTTCTCAAAGGGAACCTGGACAAAAAACAAGCATTTCATAGTTTATATTTAAAATAGCATTTTTTTGTAAAGATCTAAATGCTGAAAAAGAATTATCTGTATAATTCAACAGCCAATCCATATGCAAAAGAACCTCCTCAGGAAATCTCCTCCATTAGCGTGTTCATAGCCTGGGGAACTCCAACAAGATAATTACTCAACCCTACCCCACCTTCCGGAGTAGATATAAATTACCTGCCTACCATTTTTCTTCTCACCTTGACACAGAGAGTACTCCATCTTTCTGTGTTACACCTCTGAGGATGCCAGTCACAGCTGCTGGCGAAACCTCAGGTCCTACAATGCCCAGAAAATCTACAACTAATTATCTGTATAATTTGCTATACTAGTTCCCTCTTGCTCAGAAGACATTCCCTTTGTGTTTTAAGTATATAAGGGCAAGCTTGTTCCAGGTTTTGCATCAGGAACGCCATCAATACTTTAAGAGAGCTGAAAACAGGGTTATGTTTCTTAGTGAGGGGTGTTCCTTTTCTTTTGAAGGCCAAAGGGAAGGAAAGGCAGTGGCTGAGACACCAGGCAGTTGGAGAACTAGATGACACCAAAATCATTGATAGCCTGACGGGTGAAAAAGCCATCTACAAGCGTCGGGGAGAACTCGACCCACAAGTAAGTCAACTGTGTGGTATCTTTGCACCAATCCTTTTCCTGTTCTTTACAGTTTGTTTGGCATTTTTTCCACTCTAGCAAATTTGGTGCAATCTTGGCCCAAGACTGTTCATTCTCGTTGCACATGATTCATGCTTTATGATACTTGGATTATGTGGAGGCCCCCGTTGGAACCTGCCTGTGCCTCATGCCTTGGGTTGCCAGCCTCCAGGTGGGGCCTGGAGATCTCCCGCTTTTACAGCTGAACTCCAGCTGACAGAGATCAGCTCCCCCGGAGGAGAAAATGGCTGCTGGAGGGGGGGCTCCGCGGCACCTGCGCCCCCAGTGAGGTCCCTCCCCTCCCCACCCTCCCCAGGCTCCACCCCCAAAATCTCCAGGTATTCCCACACCCAGAGCTGGCAGCCCTAGAAACCGTGGCTCTTCCCCTGCCATGGCTGGAAAACACAGCGCAGCGCTCTGGAGAATCTGGCGGGGAGCTCCCAGCCCTCCACTCTCTGGCCTGCGAGGGATCTGCAGCTGGCTCCGAGGCTCTCAGCAGAGACTGTGGCCGTGGGACTGGGGCTGGTCTTCACACGTGTGAGCATGACATTTCTAGTGGGCCTTCGGACTCCTAAAGAATGCCGTCTCCAGACAGGCCCTTGAAAGGAAAGCCATCCTCAGCCAGATATCTGCTGGTTCTTTGCTTTCTGGTCTCAGACTAGTCAAGAATGATGCGAAAAGCGTCACAACAGCACACCTGCCTCCAATGGGACCCATGCAGAGTTCTGTAAACTACAGCTCATTTTGCTTGAGAGCCAAGCTGAATCAATTCCCCTCCTCTCGAGTGAAATATATCATCAGTAATGAGGGCAAAGATCTGGAAAGTGTGTCTGTTTGTGCAAAGCCTGTCTGTTGCATTGGGAACATGGCAAAAAAAACCCCTCAAAAGATCATTCAGTGGGGGGGAAATTGGAAGCCAGTAAAATAAAACAAATATTTTAAACACTTTTATCTGTTTGCCAAACTGCCCATGAGTAGTAACTCAGTATTCATACTTGGGATCGTTTTATATGTCACCAAAAGCCTTTCCTAATCCGGGAGACATGCTGGAAACGGCTCAAGCAGACGTCTCCTCCTTAAAGGGCCCCCGCCTCTGGAGCTGGACCCTTTCAAGGCCTTGGCCACAGCAGAGGGCCTTTGCGGATCAGCGTGGCTGCCTGATTCCCATAACGTGTGCTGAAGAAATGTCCTGACTGCTTTTGGAATGAATTCCAAATCTGAGATCCGTTTTATTAAAATAAGAAGAAACTGACCTGCAGAAATGTAGCTCCTGTTAGCCACGTGGGGAATGTGTCTTGGCTGTCGTGTCCAGTCTGAGGAATGGCCCAGATGTCTTGTGCAGCGTGTACTGGAGTGTGACATTTTAGCAGGAATGGCATCAGGATATTTTGATTAGGACCAGCTAAAAGTCACAAACTAGTGGGCTTGCATTTCAGTTTCACCAAACTGCTTCTCAACCTTGCCCAAAAGAAGAAGAAGAGGGGGAGGGGGGGGAGAGAAGAGCGCGTGAAGCACGTGATGCTCCCTTGTACTGAACCAGACCCCCCGGGGGGGGGGCGTGTCAAGGCCAGCCTCGTCCTCTCAGAGTGGCCGTGGCTCTCTCTCTCCAGGGGGGTCTCAGGCGGAGAGACCTGTTCCGTCACCTACAGCCTGGTCCTTACTGGAGATGCGGCCGGGGATTGAACCGGGGATCTTCTGCAATCCAACCAGATGCTTTACCACTGAGCCACGCCCCCCCCCCCAAAAAAAAAGAAAAGAAAAAGGTGTTCCAAGTCAAGGGCAATGCAAATGCTCCATCCCTGTGATCTTACATTCAGTGTATTTTTGTGTATTGGTCTAAGAAAAGTCTGTAAATCTTTTGTTCTATATCTGTATCTTGCCCAGGGCTTTATACATTTGTTTCATTTTATACATTTCTGTCACTCAGAGTGGCTAATAACAAAATGAGTTGAAACAGCAATCACAAGTCACAAAATAAAATAATGTTAACTAACCATCACACCCATCTGAACTTTACACTATACCAGACCGACCACTCAGAGACACCACGACAGTGTCCCAGTGAGGAGGAGGTGGGTGTAGCTCCGCGCCCCCTTCCCCCTCCGTGAACCTGACTCGCCCGTCTCTTCCTTGCAGCTCGGGAGCCCCCTGCAGAAACCCAAACGCCTCCGCCTGGCTGTGGATGTCTCGGGCAGCATGTATCGCTTCAATGGAGTGGACGGGCGGCTGGAACGTTCCATGGAAGCGGCCTGCATGGTGATGGAAGCCTTTGATAACTATGAGCACAAGTTTAAGGTGATTTTTACCACTGGCCTGGAATTCCATGGCTATGGGTCCACGTGTGTGTGTGTGTGTACGAAGGAATCAGAGGGAAGCTTTGGGGGTGAAAACTGCCATCAAGTCACAGCCAACGTATGACAACCCTGCAGGGCTTTCAAGGCAAGAGTTTAGCAGAGGTGGCTTGCGGCCCTGGACCCTGCAGTGGTCAAACACTGACCAGGACTGACCCTGCTCAGCTTCTAGCCTGGGGGCCATCCAGGTCAGGGATGAGTAGAAACAAGAGCATGTTTTCATGCATCCTAAGAAACAGTTGCTTCAGCATCCTGCAAGTAATTTCCCACCAGTGGCTGGAATCACTGCACATGAGTCGGCTCTGTTCTACCCTGTTTAGATCTTTATTTGTTGAATATACTTGTGGTCCACAGCTTTAAACCCATATGTGTTCACAAGGTGCCTTCCATCATAAAAAGCATAAAATACTATCAAGTGCATAAATCAATTGAAGAAAACATAAATCCAGATAAAATCAAAATGCCAGCCAGCCAACTTTGAAATCACTATATATATCTTACTAAGAAGAGAAGGTTTAAAAATATCTAAAATATATATTTTTAAATTATGGTGGTGTGAAAGGGTCTGGATTTTGGGAGAGAATTATAACATAGACTCAGACTATACTGGTCTGCCTTTGGTGCCGCTCCCTTTTCTCCAGCCTGATCTGACCCCTTTGCCATGTGCGGCTCCTGGAGCCCCACGTCTCCCTGTGGCTGCCATCTTCCACCCCACTTCATGCCTCGCTCTGCTCTCCAGAAGAGCATTTTGCCTTTCAGGCACCACAGAAGACTGTGTGAGAGGAGTCACGGAACTCCCTCTCTTTGCTCAGCGAACATGTTAAGTCTCCTCATAAAGTACTTTTTCATGGGCCAGATCACGAATCTCCTTGCAATGGATACCTAGAAAGCAAGCTAACACAACCTTCTTCTTAGTTATCAAGCTGACATTTTGTAGGGCATGAGATAAAAAGGGTGGGGTGAAAAAAGTGCGTCACCACAACCAAAGGCACCTGTGCAGGACGGTGGCTTGTTGGAAAATTTCACCAGGGGCCATTAATGATCCTTTCGGCTTCCCGGTGTTGCCCTCTTCCTTGGGAACCCCCTTTATTTCAAGTTATATACTTAGCTGAAGGTGAGACGGCCCCCCCTGGGAAACAGCTGGAGGCCCCGATACTGCTTTCATCACCCCCAGCCTGAGGACTGATCCAAAATCTGCATCAAAATGTGATCTCTCCGGTTTTCCTGGGAGACACAATTGGTTTCCAGCAATGCAAATTATTCCTGTACTGTGGGTGTTTGTACAAACGGGAAGAAAGGCTGACAGTGAAGACAGCAGGACCTTTCTCCTCACTTCCTTTCCTCCCCCCCCCTAACCTGAAGCAGCTGTGTCAAATCTGCCCGTATAAACCCTTGAAGTGAAATGTGTGCCATGGCTGCCATTAAGAGATCTAACATCAGGTGAGCTGCCCAATATTTCTAAATGTCAGTATGCTTTTGAAAAAAGCCAATTATGTCCAGCCCGTACGTAGTTCAGATCATTTTTATGCCTGTTTGAATGGGGAGTTTGGGGCCCCAAACTGGGCAGCGGGCAAACAGTGGCTCAGAGGGTGAGGGTTTCCGCCATTCTGCTGCTCGCGCTCTCTCTCTCTCGCTCTCTCTCATGACGGCTGATCATCAAAACTCTTTGCATAAATCTTTTCCTTGCAGTATGACATCATCGGTCATTCTGGAGATGGTTTCAACATTGCTTTGGTCAACAGTGACAAAGTCCCGAAGAATAATAAAGAAAGATTAGAGGTTTTGAAGGTAAATGACCCTGGTTACACCTGAGAATACATTTCGGTGGTGGCTCATATTCAGCACAGGTAGTCCAGCTAGAGAAGAAGTGCAGGGGTGGGTGTGTGTGTGTGTGTGAAAATGCAGTCTGGTTTATAAAAAAATAATTCTTGGCACTGTACACCCTGAGCCATTTGCTGCCTCCTGAGTGGCCTTTCTGGTTTCTCCCCCACGACACGCACGGAACAAGCACATCAAAGCCCTGGAGATGATTAGTGATCAGTATGGCTAAAGCCAGGGCTTAAAACCTCGTAGTCTTGACAGAGCCACAAAGTCCTGCAGCAGACTCGTGCAGTCTAATTTGGGAGAACCGGGTTGGATTCACCCACTTCTCCTCCACTTGCACCTGCTGTATGACCTTGGGCCAGCCATAGTTCTGTCAGAGCTGTTCTTGAAAAAGAGCAGTTCCTGTCAAGAGCTCTCTCAGCCCCACCCACCTCACAGGGTGTCTGTTGTGGGGAGGGGGAAAGGAAAGGAGTTTGTCAGCCGCTCTGAGACTCCTTCGGGTAGGGAAGGGTGGGGTATAAATCCAATCTCTTCTTCTTCTTCCTGGCTTCTTGTTATCAGTTTGTTTTTAAAGCTGGGGTTACAACAGCAGCACTCATGATTCAATGCTCTGGTAAGAGCAAATTTTGCGTAGTACTTCATTCTCACACTCTAGGTCATACAGCATGTTCTCTGAAGGACCGTTATCCATCAGAGCAGCCCCTCTGGCCCAGTTCTCCTGTCTCACACAGAGGCCAAATAGGGGCCACTCCTCCCTCTGCTCCCCTTCAGGAGTGCTACGACTGAGAAGGCCCTGTCTCTTGTGATCTGACAAGGGCTGCTCTGATCCCTCAGTAAGGAGGAACGGGTGGTCCTGTTCTGTTTCCTTTTACGTGGTGCTTTTCTTTTACAGGCTGTCAATATGTTGAACCTCGAACACAGTCCCGAACAAAGAGCAACGTCCAGTGCTGCCATGATCAGTGTTCTTAATTCTAAGCCAGCGCCTCCAATGAAAACAGTGGTGCAAACCTCTGAGTTAATGTGGTTAGGATCTGGGTGAATGTGCCCATGGTACACTTCATTCCCCCAAAGCCAACAACAAAATCAGAGTGCTTATCCGATGAAGGGGGCCATACAGTATATTTTGGATCTATTAGCATGTTTATGAAAGGCAGGGATAGAAATATTATATTTTTGAGCACAATACTTTAATTTCATGTTGACGGTCAAGCCAAGATTTAAATACAATGGCCTGTCCAGTCCAACGCTCTGTGTCACACAGTGGCCAAAACTACCAGGGGCCATCAGGAGGTCCAGCAGTGGGGCCAGGACTCCAGAAGCCCCTCCCACAAGCACCAAGAAGACAGAGCATCCCTTGCCCCAGCCTGAGAGTTCACAGTGCATCCCCTGCCCTTAAAACTGTCTTATGGACAGGAGTGAAACTTAACAGTGTTTGTATTTGGCTAGATCACTTTGTAGGGCTAAGCACCAGGTGTTTTTCAAAAAGTGTAGCCTTTTATCAATAATATTCAAACTTATGCTATTCAAAGTTCAAATTTTTATTTCAATACAAGATCAGCTCCAGAGAGTCAGCAGTAATAGTAAAGAATAAAAAGGAGGACGCAGAGTGTGACGAGCACACCACAATGAGCACAGTCGGCGAGGGGGGGGGCAGAGAAAAGGATGCCCTCCTCTGACAGTCTCAAGGGTGCTGTGGCGTAAGCAGGTTTTATTTCTTTTCTTTTTTAAAAAAGGAGCCCTGATTTTCTTTTTTAATTCCTTTTGGCATATCGGTATTTCCCCCACAAGGGCTAAGTCACGCTTTTACAGTTCAAAGTAATAATTTCAAAATAAGAATATTGTAGAATACGTGTGATGTGTCCACAAACACTTCTAGAAACCACGAGAAATGACTGCCGTAGATTGCATCTGAGAGTCAGACTGATTACTGATTAGGGGGAAAGCTTCAGTATATATTTAAAAATTTTTATTTTTTTCCATTACTACAACACTAAACCTACCGGGTTCAGGGAAAAGGATTTCGTTGTTGTTGTTCAGTCGCACAGTCGAGTCCGACTCTTCGCGACCCCATGGACCAGCTCCCGCCAGGCCCTCCTGTCTTCCGCCGTCCTCTGAAGTTTGCTCAATTTCATGTTCGTTGAATCTATGACACTGTCTAACCATCTCATCCTTTGCTGTCCCCGTCTTCTTTGACCTCCAATCTTTCCCAGCATCAGGGTCTTCTCCAGTGAGTGCTCCCTTCTCATTTGGTGGCCAAAGTATTTGAGCTTCAGTTTCATTATCTGGCCTTCCGGGAAACAGGGTTGATTTCTTTTAGGATTGACTGACTTGGTCTCCGTGCAGTCCAAGGGACTCTCAAGAGTCTTCTCCAGCACCATAGTTCAAAAGAATCTATTCTTCGGCGCTCGGCCTTCCTTATAGTCCAACTCTCGCAGCCATACATGACTACTGGGAATACCATTGCTTTGACCATGCGGACTTTTGTTGGCAGGGTGATGTCTCTACTTTTTATCATGCTGTCTAGGTTTGCCATCGCTTTCCTCCCAAGGAGCAGGCGTCTTTTAATTTCATGGCTGCTGCCACCGTCTGCGTTGATCTGGGATCTGGGGAAAGGATACTAACACTCTAACACCAAGCCTACTGGAAACAGGGAGAGGGGTACTAAGACAATGGTCTACTGGAACAAGGGAAAGGAGTACTAATACCCTAGCACTATAAATTCTAATCGAAAAAATTAACATGTTGATACGATCTGGTTACATAAAGATATAGTTGTATCACCTAGTAATACAAGGTTACTGTTGTATATAAGTGTTAAAAAGGACAAAATTGAGATTTGCTTTAAGTACTTTCTGGTAAAAGCTGCATTCTAAATGATTATCTTAGTTTTCTTCTTGCATTTCTTTGTTTTCCGGGGTTTAGGAGCAGCTGCTCCTTTCTCAGAATCCGATGTCTCTGAAGAATTGGAACTGGTGCTTATTGAATCCTGTGAATCCTGTGAATAGGATTCTTCTTCTTCCTCCACATTAGGTTTTCGACTTTTTTCTCTCTTGTTTCGCTTTGGGTTTAAAAGTTGATCCATAAATTTATTCCCTTTTTTTGTAGAGCGAGAGTAAGCTCTTTATAAAGTCTCCTCCGCTTTCTCACTTCAAAAGGAATGTCTTTTAGAATTTTTACCTCTTCATTTTTGATTTTTAAAGACTTCCCCATCGTGGACTTTAGCACCAGTTCTCTGGTAGATTGTTTCGTAAATTTCAAGCAAATTTCCCCTGGGAGTTTATTTTTCTTTATAAAATCCGGATAGGTCCTGTAAGCCACGTCCATCTCCTTCAGTAAATCTTCACATTTGTAATCCACTAATGGTGCAAGGGCATCTGCTAAAAGTTCTTTTAGATCCTCATTTTTTCCCTCAGGAATCCCACGGAAACGTAGAGCATACATGGATATTTCCAACTGGAGCTGAGGAGAGCCTTTTCCAAGGCGACGGCCAAGGAATTGAGGCTCACCTTTCCCCTGAAAGGTCACGTCGCCGCAGAGCCAATATGGCACCCAGAGTCAACTGCTGGAGCAAGTGGACACGACCAAAAGTTTAAGAAATGCTTATAAAAGATCTCCAAGGCTCCAAACAGTGAGTTAAGCAACGCTCAAGTGTTACAAAGCAACTATATGAGCCTTGGTAGACTGCCGGAACAAGCGGACATGACCAAACGTTTAAGAAATGCTTCTAAAAGATCTCCAAGGCTCAAAACCATGAGTTAAGCAACGCTCAAGTGTTACAAAGCAACTGTATGAGCCTTGGTAGTAATTAGAAGTGCATATGGATAAAGTGAGGGTGGGGGAGAAACTCAAGACTCCCTCCCCCCCACAAAACTTGAAAAGCAGTTTTTAAGTGGAAATAAATGACTCTGAGCTAAACTAAACACATGAGAATTCAAGCGAATTCAAAAGCTGCATGCTGAGATAAAGCACACTAAAAATGTATAACTTTTATCTTGTTTTGGAAAACTTACTTCTTCTTGATATTATGGTGGGGAGAAGGTGGAAAGCGACGCTGGAGAAAAAAACTCCGACTGGAAATAACCAACCTACGACTCCCTCCCAGAACCAGGGAGCAACTACAGTTTTTCCTGCACTATTAGCTAAATTGCGCCCTCTAATGGAACAGATGACGAACCTCAACACTAAATTAGACACTGTTCAAAAACAATTGAAACAAATGGACAAAAGAACCTCAGCAACTGAGAAAACATTTTAAAAGGTGGGTAAATAGACTGAGAGAATTAATAAAAGAGTGGATGAAGCAAAAAGGAAGAACCTCCGATAAAGCAGGTTTCATTTCTGCAAGACTAATCTCCTTTACCTTCAGGAAGTCGAAAATTACTGTGAAAAGCCGCATATTCCTGAAAGTAAGCTGGGTATAAAAAGTAAACGTGTGCCTGTTCTTGAAACGTTGCTTTTTGACACTTGAGCAACCCGAGGGTCTCAGCAGGGCTGCTTCTTCCTGCACGACCACAGGAGAACACAAGAAGCTTCACAAGGTGCCTCTGCTTTGGCCCAGTATCGGCCCACCTTCCCAAGGGTCGACTCGACGTCTCAGCCATTTGCTGCGCTCACAGGCCAGCAATATAAAACATGCAGGAACAGAGTTGCTACAAAAACATATCATCCATTTATATCTATAGATATATACAAACTATATACATTTTATATAATATATATAAAAATGGGGTTTTCAAGGGCAAGAGGTGTTCAGAGGTGGTTTGCCATTGCCTGCCTCTGCATAGTAACTGTCAGACTCCTGCAGCAATCAGTTCCCAACAACTTTCATACAAAGAAGTGAAGTTTATTGAGACATTGAAGTATCCAGATTATCTTTACACATCTCGTGTTAGAACTGGCAATAAGCGCATGGAGCAAGCAGATATACATAATTCAAGGGGGTCCCCTGATGGCCTGGAGCCAATCAAGGAGCAGGTAGAAGCCTGTCAAAGTTAACAGGTCTATTTTCCCAAGAGAGAGCTGATTGCTAGACACCAGGGCCAAACACTCATGTTACAGGGATAAAAAAGCACTGAAGGCACAGAGAAAAGAAACCTAAAATTCCAGCGGCACCCCCTCACTCCATGGCAGCTAGAGGCCTAGCTGACTGTAACCCTGGACTTCCTGGGTGGTCTCCCATCCAAGTACTAACCAGGACTGATCCTGCTTAGCTTCTGAGATCTGATGAGATGAGGCTATTCTGAGGTATCCAGAAGAAAGTAGGTATACCATTCCTCCAATCTTTCCAGAGTTTTTGGAGGATGGGTGTGATAAATGTGTCTCTAAGATCATTATAGAAGGGGGGGCAGTGCGGCAGTGCATGTCCAGCCATTTCAATTTTCCCAGTAGCAAAAGGGCATAAGTGCTCCTGAAGTAGCACACCATAGTATCTCCCTTCTAGTAAAGTCGATGGAAGAACATTAAGATGGGCCAGAGTAAAAGCTATCCTGCATTTGGGAATGAATAAATTCGCGAAATAGTTTGACAACACCAATTTCTTGTTCCTGAACTGATGGTATCTTGCAGCAGAACTTGAATGGTGTTGAAGTTTGAGGTCTCAAATCCTTTGCTTAATTTCAGGTTTAGCTTTGGAGTAATCCAAGGCTATTAAGCTACTAGGAGAGTATTCGGTGAATGATAAAGGGTTGACAGAGGTACAGCTGCTCAGGCTTCTTCTGTGTGGTCTGGGGCTTTACTTCTGGCGGCCTCTCCCCTTGCACCAAGGGAACGTAAATACGAGGGCAAGGAGTCCTCGCCAGGTGACCAGCCAGAAGAGCTTTACAACACTGGGATGGACTGATCTAGTAGAAGATATTTGCATACTACTGTAATGGAACTGTCATGGCGGGCATGGAGTTGAGAACTGCAGTGCCATCTTCTGTGGAGAAGGTGCTGAGCTTCTTTAAGGTCTTCTGGTGTATCTTGGAGATTTGTTCCATGTCTTTTACCCACAGACTTGTAAGGACACATAACAGCAGACTGGCTTTCCTTGGGGGGGGGGGGTTCTCTCATCTCTCTTCCTTGAGAAGCAAAAGACATAATCTTGGCTTTGGTTCACCTTTTCTGTTCATGGCACACTCTTAAATTGGAAATTAACGATTTAATTCCATTTATAAGACAAACCTGGTTGTGTTGCCTTTAGGAGAATTTCTCAAGGGATTAATTTATGGGGGGGACATGATTTAAATGTAGAATCTTCTGCCAGAGGGTGTAGGGATGGCTACATGTATAGATGGTTCTAAAAGGTGGAGGATAGATCTATCAGTGGCCACTAGCCGTGGTGACTAAAGGGGATCCCCATGTTCAGAGGCAGTAAACCTCTGAATCCCAGAGCCAGGAGGCAACATCAGAGGAAGGCCATGACTTCTATGCCATGCTGTTGGCCCTCCAGAGTTACTGGTTGGCCCCTGTGTGAGACAAGATGCTGGATTTGATGGACCACTGGTCTGATCCAGCAGGGCTCTTATGTTCTTATGACTTGACTCCTGTGTTGGAAAACATTTGCTGCCTCATATGTGTCAATGTATTATTATTTATGAGATTGACTTGTTAGGTGTTGGGGGAAATGGTGGGCTGGGCATGTGGGTTATGAATACTTGACAATGCAACAAGTGAGCACCGGTATCAGTTCAGTGACTCTTACATTTGCTGGTTTTCTTGTGTCACCCCCCCCTCCCTAGATCATGCATGCCCATGCTCAGTTCTGTATGAGTGGAGACCATACACTAGAAGGCACGGAGCACGCCATCCGGGAGATAGCCAAGGAAGAGGCCGATGAGTACTTTGTCATAGTCTTGAGTGATGCCAACCTGGAACGGTATGGCATCCCGCCAGCCAGGTTCGCCGAGGCCTTGACCATCAATCCACAAGTGAATGCTTTCACTATATTTATTGGGTCCTTGGGGGACCAGGCTGGCAGGTGAGTAAATAATTCAATGAAGCAGGGGAAAGGGTATGTATGTGGGCTTTCTGCATTCTCATTTTCATCGCTTGTTGTTGTTTTTCCTTTTCCACATGCAGTGGAAATTCAGTGGTTGATTCGATATTACATTGTTGTGTGTCTGGCATATTTCCCTGCAATGAACTGCAGGGAAATATGCTGGACAATGAAAATATAAAATTGTCCACTAGAGGGAGCAAAACAAGTGTGGAAGAGAAACCGCCTGGCGAACAGTAGTGAAACATAAGCTACAGAAATGAATCCAGAAAAGCCTTGTGTCTGTGTACTTGTGCTTATGGCAGAACATTTCCCACCTCACTGTGTTCTGCCAGATGTAATGGTCTGGTAATGTGCTGTGCAGAAATCTGCTCACCAAAGCAAGTATCTCTGGGGTGTGATTTGCTGTGATCAGATTCTCCTTTTTCTCTTCCTGGTCTTTAGATTGCAGAGGACACTGCCAGCAGGCCGGGCTTTTATTGCCATGGATACCAAGGAAATACCACAGATTCTGCAACAGATCTTCACTTCTACTATGCTGTCCAGCACCTAGAAATAACTGGACAATTTAATGTGGAAAGCAGCAAAAAATAATCCAGAAGATGATTTAATGATAGGACAATGAATGTTATTATGTTTTATATAGAAATAAATATTGTACTTGAATGAACTTGTCCCCAGACATCTGTGACTGGTCTGGTCTTAAAAATATCTACAGTCAACACTTCTGTACTTAAAAGCTTTCTATTGAGGGTTTCTTATGTTATAAAAGATCTGCCCATTGAAGAGAGGATAATAAAGGATATTTGTCGCTATTTTCAGAGACAATGAATTCAAATAATTTTGGGGCCAGAATATTCCTTCTGATTCCAAAAGCACAGGACTTGATTTGAAGTAACAAATGTAACCCAAAGGCAAGACCCATTGCTGGATCTTCTGCTGCCCCTGTTTTTGGGCATGTTTATTCCTTGTTTTGAAATGACCATGAAAGACGTGACTCCATGTTGTGGGGTTTTTAAAGTTAGAACGTCTGAACTTAAAGGTCATTTGCTTGCCGCAATATTCAAGTCAGACTCACCTGACAGCCTTGTGCGGTATTTGCCTTGCAAAACAGTAATCCCAGGTGCTACGGAAAAACCAAGATAGCTCTTTTCAAATAAAAATGCCTCCCCCCCTCCCTCCCTCCCTCCCTCTCTCTCTAATGAGACACAATACCAGGGAGATCCAGGGTGTTTCAGTATTTCTTCCCTTCATAATTTCACCACACTGAAACTGGAACCTCCTCCCTGTGGAAGGCAAGGACATCTTCTCTTTGCCCCTCCCCCATTTTCTTGAACTAATACCAGCATGGGGTAAATGGCCAAACCATAAAGGGAAAGGATGGGCTAAACCAGCCCCCCCCCCCGCACCATAGTACCAGTCAAGACCCAGCTGTCTGCACAGCTGGGCCTTTGCCTTTGAAAACCAGTGGGGAAATCTGACCATTTTCTAGACTCTCTCTCTCTCACACACAAACACACACACACAAAGAGCTGTGCTTGAGTGGAAGCTGGACATCTGCCTGGTAAAGACCCAGAATCTGTGGCAGCACTTCCAACTGCCGTTCTGGACCATGGAATATCCCATCAAAGTGACAAACTTACTCCAGCCTTTGAAATCAGATGTTTAGAAGTTCCAAGCTTCCAAGACAACCCAACACTTCCCCTGAAGAACAGCCATGTGGCTTGCATGCCAGCAAGATCAAGTATTTGGAGGGAACACCCGACTCACATGTGAAAATGTTGCATGTGGTAGAAAGGAGGAGAAGGAAGAGAGCATCTTCGTCGTGGTCTCTGTGCTTCACACCAATGGGATTCAGTGCGCACGCGCTGGATCGATCGGTGCTGTAGCAAGCTCTTTTAACGGATTTTCGCGCCCAGCCCTGCGGGCATGCGCAGGAACCCCACTGCGCATGCCCAGAGGGGGTGGGCGCGGACATCCCGCCAGTTCCTTTCTTACCGCCGCGTTGGAAAGACCTTCTTTCCTTCTCGGTCTGATCGGATTGCTGTTAGCTTCGATTTCAGCTTCGCTCCACAGCTCTTAGTAGTCATTTTCTACTTATTTTTTCTCTTTCAATTTGTTTTCAGTTGTTGGTTTTTTAAAAAAAATTAAGTTTCTTCTGCGGGGAATTTACCTCAGGCCTTTGGGCCACCCCCCCTCTCTTAACCGTTTTTTTCGCCACTTCTCTTCTTATGGAGAAGAAGTGGGGATTTTTTAATAGATGCAGATGTGGTAGCAAACTTGCTCCTCCAGATCGCCACACCCTCTGCATTTTTTGTCTTGGAGAGTCTCACAAGCCTGAGTCCTGTCGTCACTGTGCTCGTTTCTCCAACCAGATGAGGAAAAACTGCGCTGCACGCCTTAAAGTGGCGCTGCTTGAATCGGCCCTTGCTCCTGTCTCAACGATGGAGAAGAAACCGTCTACGTCGACAGCTCCGGCATCGAGACCTGCCTCCGATGTCGACCGCCCGATACCGAAGCCCTCGACATCGAAGACACAATCGTCCGCCTCTACACCAATAGAGAAGAAGGCTAAGGCGAGTACGGAGCATAAGTCTGCGAAGAAGGGCACCTCCAAGTCCCTTAAGGCGGCAAAGAAGGGAAAGGAAGCACTGCCTGCACTGGGTGATGCCCCTATAGTGCCTCCCGCTGCACCGGCAGTATCGATATCGGAGGCCCAAGTCCCTCCGCCGATACTGACCATCCAGGTATTGGACTCCCCTGTCCACCAAACGGAGTCTCCTTATTCCGACATCAACATGGCGGAGCTCCTCAGTCACCAAATGGGTGCAGAGCTTTCCCCCGCTCCTTCGACTTCGTCGGCATTGACAATATCGGAAGCCCCCGACATCGATCCACGTCTGCACCGATATGCCTTATCTGACACGCAGAGTCACCCACCACGTCTGCACACTCAGCCTGTTGATATCGACACCCGCTACTACAGGGACAACTCCCACAGACACTCCACTACCTTGTCTCCCAGACGTCCACTGACCAGAAGTCACTCCCCAAGAGTCTTCATCCCCCCCTCCACCAATGGCGTGGGATGAAAGACAGTTGCGTTACGTGTATGGGGCTTACCCTCCATCCATGCCGTGGTTGACTCCTGCGGGCTATTCTGAGTGGGATCGCTATTCGTCTCGCTCTGCTCATAGGTCTAGGTTTCCTCACAAGTCGAGGCCTTCAGCATCTCTATCACGTCCTCCTGTAGTCGAGCTGTCCCATCACACCATGGAACCAAAACCTGTCATTCCCGTCACTCAAACCAAACCCATAGTCTGTCAACAAGACGCTTTGGTCCACACGGAACAACACGATTCTTCAGATTTTATTGACAAAGACTCAGATATGGAGGCTTCTGAGGCTCACACCTCCCCTGACCATACATCTCCAAATCAGGATGTCACGGATGATTTACCTATATCTCCATCTGATAACCTCACTTCGTACACTGATTTAGTAAAAAGAATGGCCCACTCTTTAGGCCTCTCCATCGTCCAACAACATCCACAAGCGACGGATTCAGTATACGATATTGTACAGCTGGATACATCTTCTACCTTAGCATTGCCTATGTCCTCAGTTCTTTTACAGGCAGCAAAGTCTCCATGGCTCAAGCCTTCATCCGCTCCTGTTTCAACAAGAAAGTTGGACCACATGTACAGGGTCCAAGAGTCAGGGGCCGAGTTTCTATTCTCACACCCTCAGCCAAACTCCATGGTTATAACATATTCTTCAAAATCCAAGAAAATGCATTCAACACCTTCGGATAAGGAAGGAAAAAAATTAGATGCATTTGGCAGGCGCTTCTATTCCACAGGGGCATTGGCAGTCAAGGCCACTAACTACCTGGCCTGTATGAACCTGTATCAGTATACTCTCTGGGAACGGTTCTCCTAACTTCTGACCCACCTACCAGAAGATAAACTCCAGGCAGCCAGACTCTTACAAAAGGAAGGCATGTTTGCTAAACAACAGCTCAACACTATCAAACATGTCCTCGAGGCATCTTCAAGAACCATGGCTTCTGCTATAGCTCTCAGAAGACATTCCTGGCTCCGCAACACCACTCTCCCATTAGACACCAGATCTTATGTGGAAGACCTCCCCTTTGATGGCCTGGGGCTTTTCAATGCAGCAACTGACTCTACAAGACTTAGATAAGAGCATTAAAGCGTCTCGAGCGCTGGGAGTCTCATCCTCTGCAAGGCAACAATACCGCCCTCGCACCTGGTCCAGGTCCTGGCAGAGACGCACCCTAACTAATCAGTCTCCGGACACAAGGTGGAGACCGAGAACGTCTTCGGGAGGCCAAAAACCAGCCTACCAAAAACCAAGGTTTGGTTCCGGACAACAGGCTTCTCGCAGTAAACAGCCCAAGCCCTCCAAGCAGGGTTTTTGACTTCCCAGTCACCGAGTCCGCTCATACCCGTCTTCTTCCTTTTATCCATACCTGGCGTCTCATCACCTCAGACGACTGGGTCCTTTCCATCTTGACCCGAGGTTACAAAATCCAGTTCCATCAGAACCCCAACACCCCGGCCGTCATCTCCACGCCCCCTTCCCCACCTCTCCTTGAGGAGGTGTCCGTCCATCTGCAGAAAGGAGCCGTCGAACATGTTCCACCACACCTCCAAGGGACGGGATTTTACTCCCGATACTTCACAGTCCCGAAGAGAGACGGAGGCGTTCGACCCATATTAGATCTCAGGAAACTGAACCGTTTTGTGACCTACCACCACTTCCGCATGGTCTCCCTACAGCAGATCATGCCACTACTTCGCAAACACGTCTGGATGGCCACCCTAGACCTCCAAGACGCATATTTCCACCTTACCATCTACCCCTTCCCCCGCTAATACCTACGCTTTGCGATTGGCCAACAGCACTACCAATATACGGCCCTTCCATTCAGCCTTTCCAGTGCCCCGAGAGTCTTCACAAAGGGCGGGGTATAAATCCAATCTCTTCTTCTTCTCCGACTATCCATTCTATCATCCATATGATAAGCTTAGATAGTAAATGTTTGGCATACAGTTTTCCCATTATGGAGAGCAGACTGATTGGTCTATAGTTGGAAGGAATTGAACAATCACCTTTTTTGTAAACTGGGACCATGATTGCATTTAACCATGCATCAGGAATAAGGCCAGATTTATCAGTCATTGTAAAAAAGGATGCAAGGGGAGCCTTTTCGGTGGCGGCTCCTACCTGGTGGAATGAGCTCCCGGAGGAGATCATGGCCCTGCAGGACTTAGTACATTCCGCAGGGCCTGCAAGACGGTGCTCTTCCACCAGGCTTTTAATTAGGAGCGCCCACCACCACTACCATCTAGCACTACTGTCACCAATCTGCGTGGTGGGGGGTTGGCCCATCAGGAGATTGAGTCACAGCAGCGTGGGAGGCCGAAGTATCACTAAAGTGGGGCCCTAGTATTACACCACAAACTGCATGAAGAATGACCATCACTACGAGCACTTTATAGTACTAACTGCATTTAAGTGTATGTAATGTATGACTGTTTTATCTTTTTTTTAAATTGTTTTATTGTGGCACATGGTGCCGTTAACTGTGAGCTGCCCTGAGCCCGTTCGCGGGGAGGGCGGGATATAAATCCAATAAATAATAATAATTGTCATGACCCCAGAGGGGTCTTTGGTTTTCGCCGCCACCACCCGGGACTTTCGGGTCCCTCGGGAGTCCCAGGGTATCTCCCAAGCCCTTGCTGACCGAGCACTATGGACGTGAATGACCCAGGCAGACACCAAAATACATTAAGCAGAACAGGGTTTATTGTGAGAACGATTGGGGCAAGGTGCTTCGGGAACAGGTGGGGGCAGGGTGTTTAAACAGGTGAACGGGGGGGGGGGGGGAGCCAAAAGAAAATAAACTTAACGCAGATGCCTTACTTTGGTTCGACTACCCAGGCCCTAGCCTGCCTAACTCACTCCGGATTTTCCCCTTCTCTCCACCCCTCACTGGACCCAGCTGCAGGGAGGTAAAGGACGGGGCTTCTCCCCTTTTCCCTCAGAGAGTCTTTTGCAACCATCAGCCAGCAACTGCCTGAAACTGTCTCTCCCAGACTTCGTTCCCAACAGACTCTAACGGTCTCTTTAGAATCTTCTCTGACTCTCCCAATGCCTTCTGGGAGTTGTAGGCCTAGCCGCCTCCTACTGCCACCCAGGCCTCTTAGGCTGGCTAGGCTGTACTGGCACAGGCCAGATCATGACAATAATATTTCAACTTCCAGTAATAAATTAAAGGGAAAATAATCAACCAATTAATTCAGATGAATCTAATAATTTTTACTTGATTGTTTTATTTTATCAAAACCCATAACTTACAGCAAGAACAAATATTAATACAGAAAAAAGTACAATCATTGATAGAATCTTAACAGTATTAACAAGCTCACTAGGTATATGAAAATTACAGGGTAACGTCAAATAAAAATATGTAAATTAAAAACTAAAAACTTCAAACTTTAGCTCACCACTAAACATCTACTGTGTATATCAACTTGAAAAGGTACAAACTAATTTCTACTCTAGTAGCAGGGGTATTTTTGGGCCGGAACACACCAGAAAGGCATTTTGGCTGGCTTCCGAGCCTCCCCCCCCTCCACCAAAAGCCCTGTTCTGCTCACCCAGAAGCAGCGGCTGCCATGTGCTGCTCTCACACAGCCATGGCTCAAGGGATCCGGGCTTCTGCTGTGGCTGCTGCCCCTGCGGCTCCTACTGCCAGGGGAAGGAAGGGAGGGAAGAGAGAGAGAGAGAGAGTGGGAGGGGAGGCAGGCAGGCAGAGGATGGGAGGGAGCCGGGCGGGGGCCCCATGAAATGAAATTGTAAAAAAAAAAATAATTGTCAGTCAAATTGTATAATGAATTTCACCCAAATTGAAATGAAAATTATTACATTGGCTAACAAACCTGGCAACAGCGATTTTGTAGGTCTGAATGTGTGTCCCTCCATCAAGGTGAAAATTCTATTATTAGCGGCTTTTTTTACAAGTTCATTTCACTTTTTAATTCAGAATAAGTTGTGGAGGTGATATGGCTATACCTATGGCCCATCACTAATACCAGGAGTCCAATTATAAGTATACAAGGTAACTTTATCTTTGATAGAAGCATTTTTAATTCAATAATAATTTCTTTTATACATTTGGACAGAATAACGAAGTTTCTTCTCCTTTCTTTTCCCCCGCTCTATTTTTCTTTGAACAATTTCAGGAAACAACATCCGGTTTAATTATATGTGTACTAAAACTCTGTAACAGGTCTTTGAATGTGTGTCTAGAATATATAGATAATAGTGACCACTGAGGAAGGCCCTTAGGGGCCGAAACGCGTTTGGTCTTCAGTTGTAAAGTATTTACCCATCATATGTATGTATAGTGGATAAGCTTTTATAGTCTGATCTTAGACAAAGTAATCTTTAAATCAGGAAAGTTTTACTAACCTTAATAAATATTTGTACTTTTATATATATGGTTTAGCTTAGCCCTTTTTGGTTCGTCATATCCTGGGTTGAGCCCC